TCTCGTTTTATTCTGTTATACTGTATATAGTATGTTACATAGTTATCTAAATATTTTATTTCTATCGTGTGAAAAGTATCACTATGAATTTTACGCTCATAACAGATACTTATGTATTTTTTTTTTTATTTTTTGATAACGATAATCATTTTTAATAAATTAAAAGTTTCATTTTAAAATTTTATACGAGAACGAAATTAAGATTTTTCCTGCGTTTTTTTACTGTGATCTGATTGATTTTTGCCCAAATGTCACGAGGGTTATATATCATTTATTTGATTGTTCGTTTTATAAAGGATTTTTTTTTTTTTTTATAAGATTTTGTCAAAAGTCAGCGTACATTAATCTTATGATTTTAAAGCCTTATATTATACATTACCCTTTGGAATATTTATTAAAGAAATTTTTGATGTAAATACAATTAATAATATAGTTTGGACCATCCTTGATGTTTGGCATGCTTTATTTAGTGTACAATATTCATAATTATTCATTGAAAGTGGTCTTCAGTTCTTTTTCCAATATTAAATTCATGTCGGACGATTGAATCTTTGATAATGCTTTTGGAATTTTTAAAAATACGAGCAATAGTTTCAATGTTAAATGGCGCGGTTTTTTTAAAAAAATAAAATCGTTGTTTATAGAAAAAGGGAAAATCTAAATTTGATAAATTTTTTTTTTTATTGGTCCCACTTGATCATGTGCTCAAAATTAGGAACCAAAAATTAACAAAAATTTCAATTTCCTTTTTTACTCAAAAATTGGGTTTCTAAATTCGCAAAATTATAGGAAAAAATAAAGTTCCCAGGACTTGAAACTTAGTGAATCAGATATCAAAAGTTTAAAAGAAAATCAGAGGATGGCGAAGTGATATATCATTAAGGACCTTGGTTAAAAGTTAGAACTTTCCCTTTCATCTCATTCCTCCTATTCCTCTTTCATTTTATGATCCTCTTTTCCTCAAAAATATTCGGCGAATGTTGGAATAATGTAGACCCCCCGAAAGTATTCAATCAAGAGACAAAGTGATTCTACATAAATTGAAGGGGAAGAAACGCATTTGGCAAAATTTCAAAAACTACTGGGGAAAAGAAATTAAAGATAAGAACAATATAATCATTCTCAAAAGAGGTGAGTATTTCTCAATCCAGCGCGAAGTACTCATAATACTTTATATGACTTGGAATTTGCTAAAGATACTACAGATAATAATACAAAGACAATGTGCTGTAACGAAGATATCCGAGACGCCATTGATGATGTCTGTGGCATCTTATCCAAATGGAACGACCGTCTTATATACGAATACAATAAAGGATTACATGAATCTTATAAAATTAGTTCAATTAAACAACGCAGCGCAGATCAAAAAAGTGCGCGTTAGGATTTAGGAGGAATCAAAATTGATGAAATTTTTGAAATGGGCATTTTTAAGTAGGTCGGAATAAAAAGGTTCACAAAGGGAAAGGGTCAGCACTGAACATTGCGCTTGAACATTTGAAAGTAACTGGTATTCAAAAGACACCATTGTGTAGGCGTTTGAAAAAATTCATTTGTGATATTACTTTTTTTTTTTTTTGTGCAAACGTAATTGATCATAATAAACGATTTATAAAATTATTTTCCAAAAAAACAATTTCGCAATGATAAATTTAGTATAAAAATAGTTATAAATCAAATGGGTAAGCCCGTAAACACTTTTAATTTTTCAACATAATCCCGATCTAAATGTGCTTTAAACGATAATCTTCATCTTCGAGCTCATCGCCTTGATTATCTTTTTTTTGACAATGAAAAAAAAATTAAGGGAAGTTTAAAACACGTCTTAGATATAACTTGTTCAATAAGAAATAACTTGGAAAGAGTACCTTTTTCCTGGTTCATAACAACTGCGCCTGTATAATCCATAATGGTTGTGAATTAAGTGTTCATTTAGTTTATCAAGGTTCCAAATCGATCCGAACCATTGCAAATTGGGCCTAAACAAGAAAGAAATAATAAGGTCAATGTGATCATTTTTAAAGTAGCAGGCAATAAAAAATTTTTTGTTTATCATCTTTTTAATACCTTTTAATTTAGGAATATCATTCCGTTGCTCTTTGCAACCTTCCCACGGACATAGATGAATTTGGCGTCCTCGATAAAAAGCTCTGCATAAGAACAGATTGAAAAGTTAAAAAACTGAGACCATGATCAAGTAATAGTTGGGAGAATTACCTTAAATTGGCTAAATCCTCGTGATCGTTGAATACGTGTAAAGTGCATTTGTCAAAATTTCGTATTTAGACTTATATAAAAATTATAATAATAAATAAAATTGAAAATTCTATATTTTTACTATATTTAAATTTTTTTTTGTCATTGTAATTTTAAATGCATATTTTTTTTTGCATCGTACGAATCCGGTCTGAAATCTTTGCTTGCCAGGTTATTCCGGCAATAAAAAAAGTTAGAAATGATATAAGAATTTGGATAGTATCATTATCTTTAATGGTTTTTGTCTTATGATTTAGGAGATTTTACTTGTTAATAAATTTGGTTTTAAATATTTTAATTAATAAAATTTATAATGTTTTTTAAGGTAAATTATAAAAAAAAAATATATTAATTTTAATTATATAAAACTAAGATTTAATATTTCTATACATTCTTATATTATTAAACACTTTGTAAAACATCTAAAATTACATTTAAAATTAAACTTTAAATTTTAAATATTTAAATTTGCAAGCAAATTTGCCTTGCAGATTTTGAAAATGTATTTTTAGTATTTATATATAAAATTTGAAAATTTATGATGATAATTTAATAGTATATTTAGTTAAATTCAAATATAATTTATGCAACAAATTTGCTATATTTTTGAAACTTTTGTTTTATTTTTTTACAAAAAAAACCATTTTTTATTTAATTATTTTAAAGTATAATTTATATATTTTGATTAAATTACTTTTTATATTTTAAGTAAAGATATTCATTAAGTTTAATATTACCAAAATCTAAATTTATATAAGATTAAATTAATAATTATAAAATAAATAATACTTTATAGGTATTAATTCACAAAATTTTCTAAATAAAGATATATATAGCAGATTTAACATTATTTAACTAAAATTTTATTAATATTAAATAATATTTATATAATTTATATATTAGTATTGTCATTAAAGTTACTAGACAAAATTTAAAGACTTTGTAAATTGTCTAAATGATAAAAGATAAAATTTAGCAAATTATATTAAAATCTTATTAAAAAGTAAAATAGAATTCTGAAAATCTCTTATAACTCAGATTATTTTTTTTTTAAATTTTAAGATATAATTTTTGTTACAAATTTTATTATATAAATTATAATTATAAATGTAAAAAATAATTATTAGTGATTCTTTCCAACTACCTAAAAGAATTATTTCTAATAAATAATCCTTTAATAAAAATATTAAGTAGAATTATTAATATCATAAAATTTTTCTTTTAATTGTTCATTGATAAGGTTTCTAGACAAAACTTAGAGATTTTGCAAGTAATCTAAATGAAAAAAAGTAAAATTTAGTGAAATTATATTAAAATCTTATTAAAAAATCTATGAAATTCTAAAAAAGGTAAAACTATATTAAAGCTTATAAAAATGTGTAACTATATCAAAACCTTAGTAAAATATTAATAAAACTATAGTTTAGATATTTTACCAAATCCAAAACAAGTTTAGATAAATAATCTTATTCATTAATCTTCTACTCATAAAACAAAAAATTTTTATTCTTTTTAAAACTAACAAATTTAAGATTAATTTTTAAAAAAAAAAAAAATATTAAAAATGACAAATGATTTATTATAAGTTTCTAACTAAGTTGTTCAATTAATTTTAGGTTATAATAACCTTCTAATATAAAAAATATCTATATTACTAAATTTCTATAAAGTTCTTATTAAACTATCACTTTCTGGCTAAGATATCTGTCAATTAAGATTACAGTTAATAATAGATACAATACAAGATTTAAATCATGATGATACCTTATAAAGTTAATCTTATTGCATCATATGGATTAATAAAGATTAATGTTATTAATAGTTTTAACTTTTATTTTTTTATTTATATTTATTTTAATATTATTATTTAGTTTATATTAAATAGTATAAGATAGTGATTTTCCTATAATTGTATTTCTATATACTGTAAATAGAATAAAAAATTGTTCTTGTAAAAGAATTGAAATAATAGTAATAATTCAATAGTTTAAGTTAAAGATTTAGAATTTAACATTAAGAATTACTAAAGATATAATCTCTCCCAATAAAAAATTTGATATAAAAATTCCATAAAAATATTAAGTTTTATAACGTATAACTTTTATGGAAAATCA